GGACGAAATATTTTTTTCTCAAACGACAGGACGATTGAATGCAGCAGTTGAATGGATAAGACAGTTTTTATTATGAACTTCGTCTGTACGAACCTTTGGTTCGTCCAGACGAACAGATGTCGGTTCATAGCAGGGGACGGTTTTCAACTGCCATCAAAACGAGTTAATTTTTTAATTGTTTGTACGAACACGTGTTCGTCTGTACGATTGTTTGGTCAAAAGTCTGTATGAAAGGACGCTTCGTAAATTATATGATTATGAAAAGCCGTTATTTTTTAACTCACTTGTTCGTCTATACGAAATATTTTCGTACGGGGACGAATCTAATTCGTATGAGATGAACAAAATTTCTTCTGGTACGAATAGTCGTTATTTATTAAATTAACGGCAATTTTTACTGAACAGTCACTCTCACACATCTCTTTCAAAGCTTTCATCTTTTCAAATCCTTCAATGGCAAGTTCTTGCAAGCGCCAAAGGACTTTGGCTAAGGGTCCTCCTAGGAATACATCCGAAAACTTCGTGTCTAGAGCTAATGAAGAATCTTTTCCTAGGTTTGTCTCTACAAAAATCACTCCATCTAGAGTTCTCCTACAAGATCAATTAACCTTCAAGGTAATGCACTTGTTTGCCCATACTCAATTTAATTTGATCCTCACTTTAGTTCACTTCTACAATAAAGAAACCTTCCACTATTTTCTGGCAAACATGTCATTCAACTCCGACCACTCTGTTATCTGTTCTTTTGTTTTCAAAAAGAAAGTTGAAATCACCAAAGATGACTTTGGTATTTTTCTAAACTTAAGGACTTAAGGCTTAAGAGCACACACTTTGACTAAATCAAGTTTTGACTGGACTGAAGCCAATAGGGTGATTAGAGGAATAAGAGTTAAGGATCATCAACCTAAAGTTTCATCTTTATTGTGTGAAGCCCGTATCATCCAGCATGTTCTAAGAACTTCCATTATCCCTAAAGCTGGTGATATAATCAACATCACTCCTCTTCTTTCTACAGTTACCTACTTGATTATGACTAGATAACCTATAGATGAGGCTCAACTCTTAATTGACAACATTTATAGTCTATCTGAAATTGGTCATGTTGATCATAAAAGGAAGAAGAACATAGCCTTAGGACATCTGATTGCTTATATTCTGAAGAAGAAGTATGATTTAAGTCATCCTGAATAAGACTTTGAAGAACCGCTCTACTACAACGATGCATCCTTCAGAGCAATCTTCAATAAGGATGAGCCCAGCAAAACTCATGTAGTTCTAATTAAAACAGAAGAAGAAGCCGGACCTTCACATGCTGCTGGACCAAATTATGAGGATTTGGTTCAAGGATTAGAAAATTTAGAGGCTCATTTTGATCAAAGATTTGATCAAATTGAAACTCATCTGCAGCAGCAAGATTTTCAGCACAATCAGGATATAGGATATATGCGTGAACAAATAAATGCCATTAATACCAACATGTTCACGATAAGTAGTTACTTCAGCTTTTTTGGTGCAGCACCACCTTCTCCTCCAGATCAAGGTCCATCTGAGTGATTTGTTCAGGGTTTGTTCAGTATTTGATCTATGTCTGTTCTATACTTCTGTATTGTTCTTCTATTAGTGATTTCCTTTTGTGTGTTATCTTTCCATGTTTTAGTTGTATTAATATTGATATCAAAGTGTTTAAATTGTAATAGTTTTTATCCGATATCAATATAAGTTTCAATGTTTAGTTATAAATGTTCTAGAAATGTGTGTTACACTTTATAACATTCATTTTATTTTAATCTTAATAGTGGTTTATTTAACTTATAAATTTAAATTAATTTCATTAGAAAATATGATTTTTCAAAATTTAAGACATGCTTATAACTTGATAATCTTAGAATTTTCAACTCCATGTCTCTTATTTAGACTACATTATCTTGGTATTATTATTGCAATTTAGATGTTTTCTTATTTTGTATTTCTCTTTTCAATTAGTATTTATGCACTTAGAAAAATTTAAAATTTTAGATTATTGATTTTGAAAAAAATTCAAATACTCTTGAAAATTGTACAAATGTACAAAAATCAAAAGAAGTGTGCAAAAAATTTGCAATGACAAAAAGAGGCAGAAAATAATCCCAAATTAAAAAGATGCATAAAAATGTGCTGGTATAAAAAATTTAAAAAGATGCGCAAAGCGCCACATGTGGTAATTACTTCTTTCCAGACTCTTTTAATCTCTTAATTCAAATTGATCTAATGTTCATTTATAATTTATATTGAAATTTGAAATATAAAATTTTTTATTCATCCTTAGTGCAATGATTCTCTTTATCTTCATGTCTAAATTGACACATGCCCTTGAAAAACTCTTCTTATTTTCTTAGTTATATAACTTCTTAAATTATATGAAATTTTATGTTTTTCTAATATTTTTCAATTTTATTTGCATACCTTATTTCAATCACTTTCAAGATTAAAATTTCAAATGAATTTCATATTTCTGCTTATATTTCTAACATTCTTTTTTTCTTCACCTTTTGATGTTGTCAAAAAGGGGGAGAAATTGTTTGTTGTTTGCGTATGTTTGCGCACTGTTTGATTTTCATAGTGTTTTATTTTTCGTTTTTTTTTGTATTTGACTGTTTTCTTTATTTTGTCTTTTATGTTATTTTTAGTTGTATAAAATTTTTGAAAAATAAATTTTTTTAAAAAATGCCTCCTTATTTTCATGAGTTCAACAATTCAGGGGGAGTTTAAGAGATTCTTAAAATTTGAAACCCTACAAATAATAATTGTTTTGCCATCATCAAAAAGGGGGAGATTGTAGATAGAGTTGTTATTTGCATGTTTTATAATCCTGCAACTTGTATTATTTTAATGATTTCAAATATTATTGTTTTTATATATCTCCTAACACTTTTTGGAAGTTTTATTTTTGATTTAGTGTGTACTAACATTTCAGGAAAATCAACTCCAAATGATGAAGACTTCAAATTATTCTTTTGTAAATTACAAGTTTTTGAAATGAAAGGGAGTGATTGTAATTGAGTGAAAAATCACAACACACACTCTTGGGGGACAATTTTTATGAACTGATCGTACGGGACAAACTTTGTTCGTACGGGATGATCATGTCAATTAACCCTCAGAAGAGCAATGGATCGAACAGGCGGGGAGAAAATTTTCTAAGTCCTAATCGTCTAGGATGAATTTAATATTCATCCCGGGATGAAACTCTCGGGATTCTCACTCGCAATGTTCGTCCAGATAAAAAATAAGGTTTGTACTAGGATGAAACTCTCTATATGAGATCGTACAAGATGAAATTAATTTTTGTACCTGGATGAAACTCTTTGGATGAGATCGTACAGGATGAAATATATTTTCGTCCCTAGATGAAACTCTCTGTTTACAATCGTCCCAGGATGAAACATGTTCATCCCAGGATGAACTGAACTGACTTACGTCAATTGGTTATGTCCTGTAGAATTTTTGGAAACCGACCTATGAAATAATTATTTCGTACCGGTCGAACATAGTTCATACGGGTCAATCAGCGTGTACGAACATAATTCGTACCAATATACATTAGGTTCGTTTCCGGCACTTTAAGTAAAATCGTCCAGGACGATCCACGATCGTACATGACGATCCACTGCGTACAGAATTGAAAAACTTGCAATTTTTGGGCAATTTTTCTTGTCTTTTGTATATATAGTTCAAATTAGACTGCCACCCAATCTTTTTGCCATTTGATCTTCGTGCCTATTGAAAGAAAAGTCAAGGAGAGAGTATGAGAGAGCATTCAAAGGAGGATTCCTATCACTGGAGCTTGATGGCTTCACTTGGTGTTTAAAGGTAAGAATCTCTACTTGTGATTTGGGATTACTTCACTCTTTTCTTCCTTCTTTCTATATTTCTTGTGAGAAGATCTGTCAAGGAGATCTGGTTCTCTACCGAAACTAGGAGAGTGAGAACAGCCGAAGGGTTCTCTGCCCACACTAGGAGAGTGTAAAAAGATGAAGGGTTCTCTGCCCACACTAGGAGAGTGTGAAAAGATGAAGGGTTCTCTGCCCGCACAAGGAGAGTGTGAAAAGACGAAGGGTTCTCTGCCCACACTAGGAGAGTGTGAAAAGACGGATGGTTCTCTGCCAACACTGGGGATTGTGTAAAAGGACGAAGGTTCTCTGCCAACACTGGAGATTGTGTAAAAGGATGACAGTTCTCTGCCGCATCGGGTAGTGATAAAAAGAGTGTTTGTAAAGGCTTCTCCGCCTTGCTGTGGGTGCAAAAGGAGAGACACTATTGGTATTAGTGCAATACTCAGAGGGTGCCTTTAGGGAGTGGATGTAGGACTGGTTTAGACCGAACCACTATAAAACTTGTGTCGTTTACTCTATTGCTTTTTATTTTCTGCATTTTTTATTTTAAAATTTGTGGTTGAAAATCTTTTCTATAAAAAATATCATTAAAGTTTAATTTCGGTTAAAATTATCAAAAGAGAGAAAAAATTTTAACTACCAATTCACCCCCCACTTGGTAGCCATGGGACATTAACTTAGGTCTAAAAACCTATTCACTAGACTCGACAAAAATAACCAAAATGGTTGATTAGTATCCCAGAATTCCCAATTAAATAAAAAATAAGTGTTAGAATGATTCTTAAATTCCATTAATCTAGTTCCTTTTTTCAAATACCAACCTATGCTTAAAATACATCTATAAAAAATAAGAATACTAAAAAAAAAAAAAGTAAGCAAGAGTAATCCACCAAGAAATAAAATGTGATCTTGAGGCCTCCACAAGTTCTGTCCTTTCCAAGCTCCTCCACCTTCAACCAATCCACAAACCAGTCTTGAAATCCAATTTCACCAATCATTTCCTGAGATAACTAATGAATTGGCTCCAATACAATCACCAAGAATGACCAATTTCTTACCTCTAAGGCTCCCTTTAATAAAAGTTTACATGGGGATTCTAAATCTGTCAAAATTCTTGATAATGTTCAGAATGGTTTGTCTGCATTAGATAATGAGAATTGTTGGGTTAATTATGATGGTTTGATTGCTACTCAATCTATCCAAATTCTAGAATCTATTCAGATTTCAAAAGATGTGTTCAATATGGCACAAAATCTAGAAGGAAAAGAGGATGCTGCATTTACTTCTTCTGACTCAATTGTTGTTTCAGATAAAACTTTCATAGATATTGGAAGTTTTATAGAAGATATTCCTATTGTTGAACCAGAAGCTGTTACTCCAATAGCTAATGCCAAGAAAAATGATGGAATTGAAGAATCTCTCAACAAATTTGGAGGATTATGTGGTCTGGTTTCTGCTATTATACAAAAAATTGTTACTCCATCATCTGAGGTAAATTTAAATTTTAAAAAAGCTATGATTATGAAGGATAAAATTGCTATTAATAAGGATGGTTATTCTTCAAATTCTAAACATAAGCTATTTAATGAACTTCAATCATTGGGTCCATTGGAAGATATAGCTACATGAAGGAACACAGATTTCAGGCTGAAGAATTTTAAGGAGGGCTCTTCCCCTTTAGATCATTGATATGCTTGATTGTTCTTCCATTGATAGCAATAGGATGGAAGTCTATTTGAGATACCTGATGATGGAGATTCTGCTCAAAAACTATTTCAGATTTCTTGCTATGAGCCACATCCTTGGCATTTGGAAGTGGGATATATTTATTTCAGCAAGTGAGATATATTATCCAACAGAGTTATTGGATGGAATTATTTTATTTTTGAGATGCCTATTGGAAGTTCTCTTTGGTGTTACTCGGATGTCTGATGATCATTGTATTTACTTTCTAGTTTATTTGTTTAGTATGGTTTATGCTTTATATTTGTTCTATAAAATTTTTCAAATTGTTTATGGGATCAGTACTAGTTCTTAATTTTTAACCGGTTAGGAATTCTGGGATGCTAATAAAGCTTTTAGGTTGTTTAATATTTGGTATCCCCTCCACCCCAAGGGTTTTAAAATAGGAAATAGTGGGTCTCATTTCAATTATCATATTTTTATTTTAACAAATATGCTCTTCAATAAAGCTCCTTTCCTTGGATCAAGGAAACCTTAGTTTTATTTTCTTTATAGTTTGTATAAGGGTTTTCTTTCTTTCTCTTAATGCAATTGCATCTCTTCAAAAAAAAAAAAATGCTCCCTTTAGTAGGACCAAACAAATTTGAATCTTTGTTAAACTTTTTCTTCTAGCAAACCAATTTCGAAGGGAGTTGGAATTTTCCATCCTCAAACAAGGCTTCTCCACTATTCGCATTACCAATTTTGGACAAAGGAGAAATCACAACCTATTTTAGATTTTAAGGATATTGAGAACTTACAAAGCTGCTCGAACCTCCTTCACCAACCAGATCAATCTCTGCTTCAATCAAAACTTCTTTATCTTTCATATTCTACTTACAAGCCAAATTAGAAGCCAAATCAAATTATCCATTTTCTAAATTTGAAGAATCTCTCACTATGCTTTCAACAACCTCTTCTCTGTAATCTGTTCCAGCATTACAAATTTTTTCCTTGCTTCCATCTAGTAATGATAATTTAATAACCTTGTATCCATGAAGCTCCTCTTGTTGATTAGTATTTACATTCAAACCTTTACCCCACAACACAATTTTCAGCATTTTGATCAATCTCTCCTTCTTCTAATTAATATGGAATTTCATCAACAAAACCTTTATCTTTGGACAAACCTAACTCAGGAATTTCTGCTTCCAATACTGAGACTTCAAAATCTATAACTATCTTGTGATCTTGGATTGCTTAACTGGCTCCTCAGCATCCAATCTAGACAATTCTTTAGCAAAGACTTGAGACAACAAGTTAAACTTAATCCTGAAGGAACATCCACAGATGCCATCATGTTTTCTAGGTTCTTAATCATGGGTTGAAAGTCATATTTCTGATTCCGATTATTTTTCATTCTTTTAAATTTCTTAAACTTCACATGTATCGAAGGGCCATAACTCATTTGTGAATCTGTAATATCCTTTTTGTCCATCAAACTCTTATCAAGACTTGTAACAGGAGCTTTTGATTTAATTCGCTCAACTTCGTTTTGAGTCTTGTTTCCCACATCATTGAGAACATCCATGCAACTTTCAATTTTGTGACCTATTTTACCACAATTGAAACAAAAAGAAGATACTTTTTCATATTCAACTCTTTGAAAAATTTTCCTGCCTAAACCTTCAATCCAAACACCTTGAGATAATTTAGAGTCTACATTAATTCAAACACAGGCTCTAGGAAATTCACGTCTAACCCATTTAAACATTTTTCCATCTAATAACAATGGAAATCTGATCGTTGAGACAATCTTGGTAACATTAGTCTAATCCCAACAATGTAAAGGCAAATGTCGCAATCAAATCCAGATTGGTGAGGATAATCCTTTCAATGATGTTGGAGAAAATTGAGGTGACCATTTATCCATTCCTATTATGTGTCCTCCCACATGCCAATGACCTCCATTAAGCACTTTTTCCATAATTTGTGAATAATGAAATTAACACAAAATCTAGTCAAGGCCCAATGAAGTGATATGAAATCTCCCAAATCTACTCCATTGATGCCTTAACTCAATGCTATAAAGAGAGAATGGAATTTCTCTCCCAAATACTTTCACCACCAAAGATTTTGGCATTAAATTAATATTTTCAAAAACCTTCTCCATATTAAGTTTAACAAGATCCGAATCCACATCTTCTACCTTATTTGGATTAATAGGGGGCACTTTTATGTGCTAGCTATTAGACTATTCATATACCAAACCACCAAGGCCATTACTTGGATTTGCTAAGACATTCTTATCACTCACCAATTGTGTTTCAACTACAAATTGAAAACTTCATCAGTCTTCGACATTTTCAAATCTGACTTCAAAACCTCCTATTTTTTCACAGCACGAGATACATTTGAAAATCTATTTTCCTTCAGTTTGAAGCAAGTTGATGGTGAAGCCTATGGATCATTCTCCGCACCAGACAAAAGATTCTTTGATTGTGAAGAAAGAGACATCAAACTCTTCTTCCTTTCCAGAAATTTCATTGACTCTTTCCCCTTACCCAACACAAAAACCACATTATGTATCGGAGGTAGACGACGTTCATTGATGATCAAAGGTCATTGCTTGATCACAAAATCCTGATTTGTAAATCTGTCTTTTGTATCCAAAGGAATCGAACGCATGATAGATGATGGGGTTGAGGTATTCCAGTCATTAGAGGATGACTGGCTACCCTCTACCACCATAGAAGGGCTCGGCTAAAAAATCTCAATGAAGAAATTTGAAAAAACTTCTAGATTTAGTTGACGTTCTCTCTCCCTACACCCGCTCACTCCTATGGTCCTACTACTTTGGATGGTGGTTTTCCTATGCAGATTGATGCTTATGAGGAAGGGGCGTTTGATCATTTACCTAGTTAAGTGTCAACTTCTTTGTAACCTAAAGATCTTATTGTTAAGAATAGTAATATTATGTATTTATCTAGTAATAAGAATCTTAATCCTATTTACAATAAAGTGTATAAAAATGTGGGTAAAAAGAAAAATAAAAGTACTAGAAACTCGCTCTTTGTACCATGAGAGCTCAAACTTCACAGATTAGTGTTTATGGCTAATGCACTTATTAGGCGGGGGGGGGGTGTCTATTTCTTGAGATCATGCTAGGAATGTATGTAGAGTTCATAATATTATTGTTATTTTTTTACTTGAGCTGCTTATTGCATCTTCTATGCCATCTTCATCAAGTAAAAATTTTTAATCTAATATGTGTTTTGCAATTTTCTCAACTAAAATTTGGATATTTTTTAATTACCCGGTGAGGATTTACATTCTTGAAGATCTTCCTCGGGCTGTTCATACTCATATTATTTTTCATTAATTCAAATGTTTTGGGTCTTTTATCTATGCCTCTTCTTCTCATTTTGATAAAGAAATCCTTCAAAAGCATTTGTGTGATTTTGTTTTCAATACTAATTTACATAGGTTTGTTGGTGGTAATTTTAGAACCATTTCAAATGTCTCAAAAGGGGGTTGGAAGTAGACATCCTAACTCCCTCTATGGATGATTTTTACAACTTGATTCTAGGATGTGATTAGCATTTTATTGGTTTTTTTAGTGAGTGTTTTTACTTGGAATAGATCCACTTTGTGGCAAAGGCTTGAATATATCCATCTAAATAACAAGTAGAATGATGATTATCCTTTTACTCACATTCAACACTTGAGAAAAACTTTCCCTTATCACTCTCCTCATGTTATTAGTATTAACCTTCATAAGGTTTTTATTCATCCTATTTTTAGATTTCAAATTATGTTTCTTTTAAATGAGTCCTTTGATAATACAGATTCTTCCAATTAGCAAGCTCCTTTGGTTCCTGATGAACATATTGGTGGGATGATTAGAATTTGTTTTAAGCTTAATAGACATAAGAAAAAATTAAATTGGTGGAATAATTATGTTTTTAAAAGCATTCTCTGTAGCATTATTGAGGTTAAAAAAATGCTTCTTTGTTAGATAATATTTATATGGAGGATCCTTTTGCTAACAATTTGAATTGCCTCAATAATTCTAAAGTGGTGTTGTTTCAACTTCAAGAAAAATAAGTGTTTTATTGGGGAAAAATCAGCTTTTGAACTTCTTTTAGATGGGAAAAAAAAATACTAAATTTTCCATGTCATTGCAAATCAAAAAAGGGTTACCAATCATATTCATAAAATTACTGATCCTAATGAGACCACTTGTGAAATTGTTGATTCAATTGTTCTTTCTAGTGTTGACTATTTTCAAAGATTTTTTAACAAGTCTTTCAAATCACATCATATTTTAAATCCTTCTTTCATTCGTACGTTAATCAATGAGGAAGATACTTTTCTCGCTAGTTTTACTTCTAATTTGGAGATATGTAATACCATTAAATATTTTAACTTTGAAACTATGGTTGGTCGTGATGGTTTCACTACTATGTTTTTTTTTTAAATCTTGGGAAATCATTGATGTTTATTTAGTGGCTTCTATAACATATATTTTTAATGGTAATACCATTCTTAATTTTTTTCTCTTTCTCTACTATTAAATTGGTTCATAACAAGGTGGCGATTAACTATTCGGGTGACTTTAAGCCTACAAGCTTGTGTTCTTTCTGCACAAGTTAGTTTCAAATTTTTTATGGGGGGGTTATCTAAATTTCTCCATAAAATCTCTTGACCAAACTAGTTTTGTTAAGGTAATGGCTATATTTGATAATGTGCTTCTTCTCAAGAAATTATTCAAGACATTGATGATAAACTAGACGGAGGTAACATTATCTTCAAAATTGAGTTTACTAAAACCTATGGTAATCTCAATTGGAATTCTCTTTAGCATATTTTAGCTTCTTTTAACTTTAACTAAGACTTTATTTTTCTTATTAAGAATAGTATTGAGAACTTCTAATTTTTATTATCATTAATAGTAGGAATCATGGTTTCTTTAAATCCTTTTTATGTATTAGACAAGGAGATCCAGTTTATCCTATGCTCTTTATTATTACTTTGGAATAACTTTATAACATTTTAGTTGATTTATTTAAAAATCATACTAAGTTTCAATATCATACTTTGTGTGGATTCTCTATTTTTTATCTTAATTTTCCTAATAATTTTATAATAGTTTCCCATTGTTCTAAAAAGATTTAGAG